TCTCCAAAAATCACACAGCAGACAATTAACACTCAATCACATAAATCCCACTTAAATTAAGCTAAATCATGGTTTAATTACTATCAATTTTCTCCCATATTTCCAGCAGATTTTCGAACACACAAATCAGCAAATAAATGGACAAATTCGGGGCTTGGAGGGGCTGTCAACATACCAAAATTCCCAGCTGTAGAAACCGGGCTTGGCTGGTGAGGGAGCCGGCGGCAATTGCAGAAAATTCTGCAGGGGGACTCACGGAATTAACCAAAATTGGAGAAACAACAAATTTAACATAAACCCAACCTAAATCAAGCTGAAAAGATGGAGTTCATGGCTATGGCTTACCGGAAAAAGCCCAGAAATCACCCACCCACATAGCAGCCGGCGGTGAAGACAAGCAGAGCAAGGCAGATCTGGAATTTCCAACAGGGGAGAAGGTTTCTAAGCTCAAATCTGGTTTTTGGACAAGAAAACAAGGGGGAAAACACAAGCTTCTCACGAGTTTTTCAAGAGGAGGCTGTCGGGGGGCTTGGGGCTTTCGGGAAGAAGAAGAAGAGCAGGTCACGCGGATAAGGAAGAAGAAAAAGAAGAACAACTCAGCCATCCTTATCCTAATTCCCTTTCTTTTTAAGTTCCTCAACTCTTAATAATTTGACTATTAAGCCCCTCCATAAAATTTTTCCTCAAATAAATCCCTTATTTAATGCTAAAATATCCCCAAATTTTGGGGTATTACATCCACCCCTCCTAAAAAGGAGTTTTGTCCCCAAAACTCAAATCTAGGATCACTTGATTGGTGAATAGCTTCACATATTCTAAAACAAAACAAACGCCTCACCGACTTTCTATGATCAGAACATGATCTACTACGCTTCCACTGCGCCACTCTGATATCAACCACAACTACCATGTAAACCACACCACCTCAAGAATAGTTCCAAGGTCAAAACATTAACGGAATCAATCAAATTTTCAAGCAGAAAATGACAGAAATAGTGATAATCAGACCATCTATCTTACCCTTTTTAAGATAGATGCCGGTGTCATAATCACAAGAACCCAATTTCAACATACATGGCTAACATTTACAAAGGTATTATAGTCAGATTCACTTCACAGGCAATAAGTACTCATCACTACTCTAACAAGCCAATACAATTTCTCAATCTCCACCCTCCCCAATGGCTATTTGGGAAACGGGAGATAACTTCACGCCTTAACACAAGTAATTAAACTCGAGAGTTATCGGCGTGATTATGTGGTGCCCTTGATTCAGATCAAGACCTGGCACTCATCAAACACAACATGGCAGGGAGTCTAACGATGAATCCAACTAAACGATGAAACCCTATCCGAGACGGATAAGCGTCTCTCGGATATATAGGATCATGAATGGATGAATGCATGTATATGCATGGATGGATGAATGCATGTATATGCATGTATGAATGAATGCCTTTATGCATGCATGAATGAATGCCTTTATGCATGCATGTATGAATGCCCAGATGAATACTCAAACAAACAGATCTAATGTGGAAGGCTTTATACATCCTGCCACAACCAAAACCAAGCATACTATCACAAGGGACCAAGTTCCCAAACAAGGTCCTAAGAGCATAGTGAGTAAAGATTAATTTCAACAGGTAACAAGGCTGCTATTTTTCTTAAGTCTGGCATCAATAAATCAAAATGTAATTCCTCACATTTTGAGTCCAAGAGAGGACCTCATGCTGATGTAACTTCTTACCAGAGTTTAGAGTGCAGAGACACTCCAAACCACAACCCAAGGTTAATCAATAACGCGTGATTGGATGGCAAGGCAAGAATCTAAACGGATAGAGGAAAGAACCATTCTTCTAGAACTAAACTCTAGAGCACTAAATACTGTGATGATAACCCACTTAAAGCATAGTCCATGACGGCAAGCTATTTTTACAATCATGTCAATCAAAGATATTAAGACATAATATCAGCATTAGGCTATCTATCCATAACCAAAATAGGGATATTTCTAAATATATCCATAGAAGTCGTCACCCCTCCTAAAGAGGTGTCCACATGAAACTTAAAACAAGAATTTAACAGGTACATGGGTATGCCGAGATAACAACTAGCATAAAATTCAGAACTTGAGCAAGAGCAGGTGTCAAAGCAAAAATATTTTCAAAAACAGTTCAGAATGGATTCCACTACCAAATATCAAGCAATTGCTACATTAGCATATGTCAAGCTAACTTCAAGAACTCCACCAGGCATAATTTATATTCAGATATTGGCACTCAAGAAACAAAACAAGTGCAGAATCCAAAACTTGAGTAACAACAGATTTTCAGACAATTTTTCAAGAATAGAAGCAAGTCCAAACAAAATATTTGGCAGGCTATTTGGCAGGAAAATTTTCACCCATGTGTGAAAAACCATCTCCTTTCCTGCAAGAGCATCTGGATACGTACAGAAACTAAGTGGCATCCACCACAGCCTAGACATTGGCATGACATAAGCACGTATAATATACAGACTCAAATTCCATAAGGATTTCAATCAAAAGCACAAATTTTCTTAATGGATCATTGTCGCTTCACATCTAAGTTCATTACACGAGCAAACCAAGTTATCCACTCAAAAATCATCAAATATCAAACAGATATATTGAACCAAAATCATAAGATTGAAACAAAAGAAATGAATCAAATTAATCACCGCTATAAATGCAAAATAACTCGTTTTAAGTCTGGAACTGGAGCTTACAAGCAGATTCACACACACTGAAATCATCAATAGCTCCAAACACAAATTCCAGATTTATCACTGTCAGCCCAATTCATTATCCAAACAAAATTTTCCAGAACTAACTCAAATCACTGAGATTTACTATTAAAATCATTCCTTGTATAACCCATCACTCATCTCACCACGGTTCTAAAATCCATTGGCTAGCCAAGTCCAAAACAAATCCTAGGTATTTACATAAACCTAGGCTCTCACATCACGAAATCTTAATCAAACCTAAGCTCTGATACCACTTTATCTGTCACGCCCCAGAACCCAAATCCGAGGCGCGACAGACGCCGTGCACTCGTGAGACGGGTCCCACAAATGCACAAGGCTCGGAACTTACTGAACAAAATCAGTTTTGATACCATAAACTTTCCAGATAAAATCTAACTTACAGGAGCGTGGTGTACATGTATCTAAAATCTATGTCAAATCTCAAGTGGCTAGCCTTTTTTTTTCTTTCACGTCACTCCCCTTGATTTCCGAGTCTCGGGGCACACTACCTGAAATGGTGGACGAGAAAAACGAGGTGAGATAACTCAGTAAGTAAAATATGGATTGCCCTTAATTAAACGTATAGCATGCCAACAAGTGTAATCAGAAAACGGATACAGTACGGGCACGAAATAGACGTCTCCTCTATAGGTCACGGCCAGTGTTATAAACCTCCCACTGGCAGGCTACAGAAATTACTAGTGTATAATCCCCACTAGTAGGGCCACGAGCGAACCGGTTCTATCACGAACATGTCGACATGTGCTAGCGTTTATAAACCTCCCACTAGCGGGCACACGAATA